TGCCCAGGCTGGAGTGCAGTGGTGCCATCTCGGCTCACTGCAACCTCTGCCTCCCAGGTTCAAACGATTCTCCTGCCTCAACCTCCCAAGTAGCTGGGACTATAGGCACTGGTCGCCATGCCCAGCGAATTTTTTCCTTTTTAGTAGAGATGGGGTTTCACCATGTTGGCCAGGATAGTCTCAATCTCCTGACCTCGTGATCCACCCACCTTGGCCTCCCAAAGTGTGGGGAATACAGGCATGAGTCACCACACCTCGCCAGTTTAACATTTGTTTTTTTTTTTTTTTTGAGATGGAGTCCAGCTGTTGCCTAGGCTGGAGTGCGGTGGTGCCATCTCGGCTCACTGCAAACTCCACCTCCTGGGTTCAAGCAATTCTCTGCCTCAGCCTTCTGAGTACCTGGGATAATAGGTGCCCACCACCATGCCCAGCGAATTTTTGTATTTTTAGTAGAGACAGCGGTTCACCATCTTGGCCAGGCTGGTTGTGAACTCCTGACCTTGTGATCCATCTGCCTCGGCCTCCCAAAGTGCTGGGATTATAGGCGCGAGCCACTGCGTCCAGCCTCATTTTAACAATTTTTAAGTGTACAATTCAGTAGCTTTCAGTACACTCAAAATATTATACAACTATCACCATTATCTATTTCCAAACCTTTTCATCATCCCAAACAGAAATTACACCATTAAACACTAACTTCCCACTCCTCTTCCTCCAACCCCTGATTACCAACACTCTACTACTTCTGAATTTACCTGTGCTAGATCCCTCATATAAGCGGAATCATACAATATTTGTGCTTTTGTATTTGGCTTATTTCATTTTGTGTAATGTTTCCTTTTCAAGGTAGACTTTTGATTTTTTTAACGGACTTTATTTTGTACATGACAGATAATAATTTTTATTGTGCAATAAAGGTGTATTTTAAGAAAAAAATAAAGGTCAAACAGGACAGGTAGTTTGGGATGAAGAATTGTGACTTCTGAGCCTAAAATGATCCTCCTTTTTTCCGTATTGTTATGTGGAGGTTTTTAATGTGTAGTATCTAGGCAACCCCGTGTCTTTACACAGGTGTTTTACAGCTAGTGGTTAATTCTCCTGGTCTCCCCCAGAGGGTTTTCTATACTTTATAGTCAGGATATGAAGACACAGGGATGCTGTGGGGATTAGTTAAATGTGTGTGGCACAGTTTGCTGTATAAACTAACTCTCTGGAACTAGTTTTCACTCTGCTCTTAACTTCCACAGCTTTTACTGTCAATACCATTCATTTGGCACTTAGCACATGCTTGTTAGTTGTCTTTTTATGTTTATATCCTTGAAGGCAGGAGCTAAGTCTCATGCCTCTTTATTTTTTCAGTCTTGTCTATAATAGCGGCTCAATCAATGTTTGTTGATGTTGGGCTCCCCCTCCCCCTCTCTTTTAAGTAGAGCAGGCAATGCATAGCTTTAAATCCAAACTCGGTTTAAACAAACTGAAAGGTTTTCAGGGTGAAAACAAAGAAGTCTTGCATAGCAGGATAGAAGGCTTGGAAGACCTGGGTTAAACAGAAGTACCAAAAAACTGTTTGCCACAGGTTAAGAAGTCACTCGCACACAGCATCAGAGTTCTGCTAACTCTATTTCATCAACATTTGGAGAAGAGTAATGCCCAAGCAGTGTTTGAGGAGGAGGTGTTAAAGGAATTAAGTGTTTTAGAGGTTTTCACTGCTCCAATTCCATTGCTCCACAGCACTAGTTGCTGTGGGGAAAGCATGTTAGAAAAGTGTTTTGAAGGCAACTTCAAGACGAGGGGCAGGCATAGTACAAATGTAGCCACCAGGACTTTGTTACCAGGATTTCTTTTTTAATGGCATCTTCTGTAGTGGCAAAAGACAGGAAATAGCCCAAATGTGCCTCCAGTTTTTTAGAGATTAGTTAAGCGCGGAGAGTGAAAACTAGCTCCAGAGAGTCAGTTTATACAGCAAACTGTGCCACACACATTTAGAGTCTTGCTATGTTGCCCAGGCTGACCTTGAAATTCTGGCCTCAAGGGATTCTCCTCCCTCAACCTCCCTTGTAGTTGGGACTACACATGTGTGCCACCACTGTGTCTGGCTCCCAAATCCCCATTTAATAAGTGGATGAATAAAAGAATTTTGACAAAGCAATGTAATAGATTACTGAATTATAATAAAATAAATAAGGTAAACAGTTATCCTGAGATGAAAGGATATTTCAGACACATTGTTGAGTAAAGAAATGCAAGGTGTGCCATGATTAATGATTTCACTTGTAAGGAACAAAAAGGGAATAGGCACTCATGCTTGAATATGCAAATAATCTATTTGAAAGATGACATACAGTCATAAAGAGCATGGGACTATGGGAGCAGAGTGGTGGGGAGGAACTTTTCACTGTAGTCTTCCATTATTCTTTTTGAGATGGAGTCTTGCTCCGTCACCCAGGCTGGAGTACAGTGGTGTGATCTCGGCTCACTGCAACCTCTGCCTCCTGGGTTCAAGTAATTCTCTGTCTCAGCCTTTCGAGTAGCTGGGACTACAGGCACGTGCTACCACATGTGGCTAATTTTTGTATTTTTAGTAGAGACGGGGTTTCACCATATTGATCAGGCTAGTTTTGAACCCCTGACCTCAAGTGATCCACCCGCCTCACCCTACCAAAGTGCTGGGATTACAGGCTGAGCCACCGTGCCCAGTCCAGTACTATTTTATTTGAATTTTTCCATTTCATGTTTAACTTTTTTCACTTGGACAGCATTGATTTTAACAAGTATGCTGTTGCCACTGTGATTAGTAGTAGTCCTGCAGCAAGTACTGCCCTCCCATCTAGTTCTCCTATCCACTCCAACAACAAGGCTGAAATAATCTTCCCTTGCTTCACAAACCAGGTATCTCCATATCTTTAACGTTCAAAAACTCACTTTCTCCATGAAAAATCACTCAAATGACCTCACTTCATACATAAACTGAATCATAACCAGAATCATTTTGTGCACACTCCTGCTTCTGAATATTTCCACAGAGCATGCTGGACACTCCATGATGTGCAATCGTCCCTACTTTTCCTGCACTCAGAGTTACAGTCTGAGCCCCAGTTTACTGTGTGATAGTGTTTCCTTTAAGCACACTTCCTCTTGCATGCCTTGATCCATGGCCTCTCAGATGGCTCCCATTAGGCAGGCTTGAATTGGATGTCACTCTCATGGGCATGAGCTCATTATATCAGCCTTGTGCTGTCAAGGCCTTTACAGTTAGGCTTGCTTCCTACTTGAAATATTTTCTAGGAAATATGGATCTGTAGAGAATGGTGGTTTCCATGGTAAATGTTCCTTCATATTTGTTTTCTCAAGTTCACTTTGCAGATACACAGCATGATTTCCTCTTTCAGTACCAGAACCACAATAGCTTTAAGTTGTCATGAAACCGTAGAACTTTAAAAAAGAAATCTCACCCACCCTGCTTAGAAAAGGGGTAATTTATTATTCTAACTGCAGGGAGTCAACTTCATATCCATCTCCAAAATTGTAGGAAAAGAGCTGATTTTTAAAAATAAAGCCACAAAACCTACACGACCTTGGATGTAAATGCTTAAAACAGATGAACAGAATATTAATTCTCTAACACATGTAAGACTCTCCACTATGTGTCATACACAAGTAGGAACACATACATGTTGGAGTGCTTTAGTTTTCACACACATTTCATTTTCACTCCAGTGCCATTAATTTAATGGCATGTCTTACAGCATTTATTTACAGGTAGAAAAATTAAGGCTGAGAAGTTAAGCCACCTAACATTAGTCATACAATTAGCTAGTAAGTGCCAGAGCCCCAAATGAATTCTTCTTTTGGTTCTCAATTCTATGTTATTTTGCTACCCCTACACTGTTTCTTTGTGCCTTCGTTTTCCCAGATGTAAAATGGTAGATTTTCCGTGTCCCAGTATACTGTTCTCAACCCTCTGTTTTTAACCAATATCAGTTTTTTTCTTCCACAGCCAGGAAATGTGAACGCCACACTGGCACTTCATGTACTTTTCCCCCTCCGGATTTAATGAATTAAGGGGAAAGAAAAGTTACCTATTCGTGGAGGGCTGGACAGTGCTATAAACATAAAGGCGTACCAGAGTCGGCCGACACACTGCTGCACTCTTTTATGAGACTGAGAAAGCGTCTCATCTTTCTCTTCCCAGCGGTAGCTGGGGTAGAACATAGAGCTACACAATAGCCTCTTGTTTAGTTTTATTAATTTTGAGGACTGGTGGGACAAAAGGATCAGACTGGCGACTCCCGGGCCCAATCGCAAACGTATACTAGGCCAGGCCCGGCCAACCAGTAGCGGCAAAAGAATGGTGGGCGGGACTTACGCTTCAGGGGCCCGCTCCGCCCAGGCCGCATCTAACAGCCCGCCCAGGGGCGGAGCCTCTGCAGAGCCCCGCCCACGACCCCCTCCTCCCTCGCCCCGCAGCTTCTGCAGCCCGCCATCGGGAGGCGGGGGAAACTCCCGGGGTGGGGGAGCGGAGGAAGAAAGGAGGGTGTCTCGCAGAGCTGTGACCTGGGTGGGGGCCTGCTAGTAATAGGAAGCGAGAGGGGAAGGAAAACGAAGGAGCACTGCTCCTTCCTTCATTATTTTAAGCAGGCTTTGGTGGAAGCTGCTTTTCAGCATTTCTATTATTTGCTTTTCTTCCTCCCGCTGTGGGGCGGAGAGCTGCACTGGCTCTCCCACGCGAGTATGCCGCGCTGTTGCCGTAGGTTATTATTGTAGTCTTTTGCAAAACCCTTTCCTTCTCCCCAGCCAGTCCCCGCGCAGACTCTCACGGCTACGGCAACCGAGTCGTGCCCCTCTAGTGGAAAGGCGAGAGCGAGGGTCCCCAACTTTCGCCCGAGCTCTCGGACCCCGCGGTTTAATTGTTTGAAACTTCCCCGCCCCCCGGCCCCGCCTCTCTTCCGCGCTCTCCTCGCTCCTCACTTCCAGGGTCCAGGCAAGCTCCCGCCCTTCTTTCCCCGCCCTCTACTCCGCCTTCCTCCCCAGTCCACCCGCCCTGCCGCTCCGGGGCGGTCCTAGCCGCTCACCGCAAGAAGAAAAGCCACCCGTTCGTCCCCCTCCCCTACCTCCCATCCTTTGCCCAGGAGCTGCCTTGGCAGTCACGCCCCTTCCTTCCGAGGAGCTTTCTGGCTGCCTAAACTGGTAGACCCCCTGAATTACTCCTCCGTCTCCGCTCTCTTTCGCCTCCTCTTCTCTTAGTTCTCTCCGCCTCCCCCTCCAACTACCACCACCTCCAGTCAATCTCGCCTCCGACCATCCGCTGCTCCACCCTCTGGCCCGGTATCCTGCCTGTCCACTGCCACCAAGGAGAGCCCGGACGGAGCAGCGAAGAGGGGAGCAGCCAGGAGTTGGGGCTTCCCCCCTGCCCATCCCTGGCCGCTGGCCCGGGACCGAAGCCACTTGAGCGAGCAGAGAGTCGTCACCTTGTCTTCGTTGCCTTCAGGGGTAGGAGACGTGTGGTTACTTTTTGCGGGGAACTGGGGCAGGAATCCATGGTGGCATGAACTTGGTCGTGCCCTCGGCGTGAGTGAATCGATCTAGGCGCGTGTGAGAATGCCCGTGTATTCTGCTGTCTTTGCAGCTGGCCATGAGTTTTTCAGGATGTGCAGCAAGTTAAATCGGTTAGAGTGTGCGCTGCTTTCCCGTCCTGCTTAAGTGAGGAGATGCTAGTGGGTACCACTACTAGATGGTATTTTTACTTCCTTGCCTCCTGGGGTTCTTCTGGGTCTCTAGGAAATTAATCACATTGAGGAGCTAAAGACCCGAGGGAAGCTGAAATCTACTTTTAGCCTAGCATGCAAGTCAGTGCTTATCTCAGATAACTAGATAGGTTTCTCCTAAGTGCTTAGGCTTGGGGTGTGGACTCACACTCCCTGAGGCGGGAGAAGGAGGGGTAGGACCGTGAATTCTTGAAGTTTTAAAGTCTGCGTAATCTAAAACATAAGGCTACTTTTTGAAATGTGTGGTGGTGGTGGTGCTTGTGGTGGTGGTGATAGTGGTCATGAGGAGGGAATTGCCCCTATCTACTTTAGAAGATCCAAAGATGTTAGTAAATAGTTTTGGGGGATCAGGCAGGTGTCTTGAGGGTCCAAGCCTGGGCCACTGTACGTTGGTGCTTCAACAGTAAGATGGACTTCGTGGATATGTGAAAATCAAGAGAAAGAAAAGTGGGAGTAAAAATACGCCTTTATAATAGACTATGAGCAGTTCCTGGTAAATTTCCACTAATAATAATATAATAATGTTCATAAAGTGACTAAATAAGATTAAATGAGCAAGGAAAGAGGAAGTTGGTGAGAAACAGCATTTTCAATCTCTAGCGTATGTTTTAGAAAGAATTTTTCAACAACCTAGGATGTTTAGTTCAGTTCTCCTCCCTCCGTGGAAGTTGGGAGGCAGTTTAAAACTTTTATGAATATAACCCTCTTCTCCCATTCAGAGAGGAAGATAATTAGTCACCATAATCTTCAATGATGAAGGGCTAAGGGTATTTAAGTCTCCTTGAGCTAGGCTTTGTGAAAAGTTCTTTCTCAGGCCAGCCTTTGTGAAGCCTTCTCAGACCTTTCAGCACCCTCATTTAGTAGCTAAGAATAGTTTGAAATGCCATTTTGGATGTGGGATACATTTTCATCCATCTCCCACCTATCTTCAATTGGACAAGTGCATCAAACTTGTAAGTCGTGGTGTTCAAAGACTTATTTCTGTGATGTCCTGAACTCATTGCTTATTTGGGAACACATTATTTACATACATTTAAAAATAGCTTTGGTTGATTTTAATGAGGGAAAGGAAGGTAGGAAGGTAGAGAAGGAACGTTACATGGCGACAGTTTTAAAGGCTATCCTGTTTCAGATCAGCTGGGAGGGAAAAGCTGGCCTAGCCAAACTACATTTTATAACTGGCCTGGGACACTTTAACAGCCAGGTGGTTGTAGAATAGTTGCATCTATTTACAGATGATAACTCAGGTTCCAGCTATTCTGTATGGGTTTATCCGGTGTCATCGACAGACACTTTCTGGCACGACATCATACTTCATTTTAAATTACTTCTTTCTTTGGAAAAGTTTGTGGCTTTGTAAAATTGAAAGTGTTTTTTTCTACCTTCATGGTGTAGATGTGAAGTAAACCTCGTTGTATGTGGAGTCACTTTTACATGAAATTTGTGGATCTGTTTAGCTATTTAAAAGATTTTAGAAAGGGAATTTTAATAATTAATAGTCAATTCAATTTTGGATTTAGAAATTAAAATCTCATTTCCAGTTTATGAAGTTGGATTTATTAGACTAATTCCCAACTAGGACATTTGTAGAGTTGCTTTCTCTGAGGTTTTGTAAAGACCACATCAGACTCTAGAATGCTTTAAGAATAGCCTAATCAGAAGGCAGGGGGATGGATACTATGACCTTGAGGTCCCATTGAGTGCCAGAATTCTAAGTGGGTACATCTGCTTCTGTGCCTCTCCTAAGAGCCCTCTCCCAGGGCCTGCGCCTTCTTTAAAAGGGTGTCTTTGTAATTAAGCAGCCCTTCTTCCCCATCCCCCTTTCTTCCTTTGATCCAGCTTTTTAAGGCCTTTTTTCCATTTGGAGACAAGAGGAGTTTCTCACACTTTCCTGTTCCCCTCTTAACGTTTCTTGTCCTTTACCTCAGAAAAGTCCCCTGAGGTTCTCAAGATGGTTAGAAGTTTTGTTTTGTTTGGGGCGTGGGGGTGGAGTGGGGGAGTTGTTACCAGTGAGGAGGAATAGAGGATATATTCCCGCTTGGGAAATGCTTGCGACCAGGTAGCCTCCTCCATGGAGACTGAGCATTTGGAATGCATGAGAACAGTCTATTCTTGGGGACTGTCTGGTAGAAATTGTCCTTTGCACCCATTAAGCCCAGCTTAAACACATTGAAAGGGGTGGGGAGAGGTGTGTGTGGTCGTAGTGGAGCCTTTTAGGATGGTAAATGGGTAAATGTTTCCAAATCTCCTATTACATCATCTCTTTCTCCCATGGATTCAGTAGGTTTAGTGATCTGCTTGACAAGTTAATTAGCTGGGGACTAAACCAATTTGTTTAGAATTGTGATCCATTGATTTCCTGTCCCCAGGAATTTTTGTTGGTGTTTTACTATGATGTGTTGTCTTTAGTCTTACTTACTTTTCCCTCCTTGCTGCCTTTTGTGGACTTTGGTCCAAAATCTAGGGTTCCACCCCCAAGTCAAAGGTTAGAATTTTGTCCCGGGAACTAAGGGGGTATTAAACAGGCTGGCCATACTGCATTACTCTCCTCCATGGTGGGCTTCTGACCCCTTTTAACCCAGAGAAAGGAGGGAAGTCGCCCCTTCCACACACAACACACACAATCTGAACAAAAAAGAAAAAGAAAAAGAAAGAAAGAAAATAGGAGGTCATTTGCTTTATAAAAGAATCCACAACAGGTTTCTTTGTAAGTACTAGCTTTCCTAGTTAGTGCCTTTAAACTGTGACTTGATATATAAAAATTCACTCTAACTGGGCCTTCTCAGAAGTATATTTATTGCATAAAGGAATACATAAGAATTTGTAATGATTATCGCTTAAATGAAGTGAGGCCATTATTTGGCCTTTGAAATCTTTTTGTTATATGGAATGGAGTTAGTTAATTGTCTAAATCATGCTGGCTTGTAATAATGCTGGCCACGTTAGCTCCGGCCTACAACTGCTTGCAGAAGAGAGCTAGTATTACTTTTTGAAAAAAAATCAGACTTTATAGATTTTGAACAATTCTAAGGCTGAGACTATCCACTCCATATAGGTAAAATATTTTATTTCCAGTCACTGTATTTGACTTACCCAGGGATCCAGAAAGTTATTTCTAGTAAATAGTGGCGACTGATGCCATTTTTAACCTAAGAATCTGCAATAAGATTTCCTAGTGAGCCTATTGGTGAGAAGGATCTGGGCTCTAGGCCCAACTGTAACTCGGTTTACTACTTCTGTTAAGTTTTTTTTTCCACTGTAAATTGTGGGCTCGGACAGGGTGATTTTGAGAGCCAGTTCTCATAAGTTTAAGGTTTTCTTTCTAGGCCTCAATATCTAGTATGAATGTGAATGATTGCTACTAGAAGGAAGTGCAACAGTTGTTAGAAATTCAGTCATCTAGTCATCATGTTAAAACAAAAGATCCTGTAAGGATATATCAATATAGATGCATTATGTTTTATATTTTAACAACTCCAAATTAAGAAGCTAAGACTCTGCCTAAAACTTTATCAAGAATTCCATCATCCTAGCAGATCACCTGCTTTCATTTTTTCTAGTTCCTTTCAAGTCCTGGTTCCTGTACTAACATGAATTTTAGATAATTAAAGCCACAGATATATGCAATGTTGCTTTTCAATAAGAGCCCACCTTAGACTTAGCTTTGTAAACCCATGTGGAGGAACGAAGGCAGAATCTGACCGAGGACACATGAAGACTCCCATATATTTTGTTTCTCAAATACCAGGAGACGTTAACAGATATAAGTAATCCCTAAACACTTTCTGTGATTCAGGAGTTGTTCATGTATCTAGCAAGGCTGTTAATTCAATTCCTTTGACCTCCTGTTATCTCTACCCTATTCTTGTTAACAACAACAACAACAAACTAGGGTTCTCTGTTTACTTTGTCTATATCAGTTGGCAATGATTCTTAAATCACTGTATGGTGATATCCCATCAAGTGAGTACAAATTTGGGTGGACTATGAAGTCTCCAGAATGAGTAAGGAGAAGCAGGAAAGCACAGATATACTTGTTTTATAGCATGGAAAATAATATGTTTAAATTAGGCGAAAAGATAGCAGAGAAACTAAGGACTTTAGACAGTTAAATAAAAGACATTAGGTAAGCAGCAGAATGTGCCGTGCATAATGGGTTCTTCATCCGAGATCTTCACTATGTAGTAAAAGTTCAGTTTCATAGACCTTTAATTTTCCTTTGATAACAAAAGTATGGTATACATGTGATCTTTAAGATTTGATGAATTCACTGGGCGCTGTGGCTCACACCTGTAATCCCAGCACTTTGGGAGGCAGAGGCAGGTGGATCACCTAAGGTCAGGAGTTCGAGACCAGCCTGACCAACATGGCGAAATCCTGTTTCTACTAAAAATACAAAATTAGCTTTGCATGGTGGCACATGCCTATAATCCCAGCTACTTGGGAGCCTGAGTCACAAGAATCCCTTGAACCCTAGGAGGTGGAGGTTGCAGTGAGCCAAGATCACACCATTGCACTCCAGCCTGAGCAACAAGAGTGAAACTCTGTCTCAGAAAAAAAAAAAAAAGAAAAAAAGATTTGATGGATTCATTCCTGGAAACCAGTGGCTCATTGTAAATTAGATTAAATTTCTCTAACTGGAATAGAAAGTGTGGTACTGGTTTTTAGTATTTAGAAAATACCAAATAAGTAACAGAAACTTTTTTTTTTTTTTGGTAATATATGATCCTGGAGAAAATGCAAATGAACATATTTGCCAATGTTTCCTGAGGCAGTTCTTGAAAATCTACTCTTTTAAGTCTGTGGGCTTGCCTTGACATTTGTAAAGGCACTTTCACTCTCACCGTAACTCCATGAAATATCATTAGCTTGTGTGACTTGAAGCCAGCCTTTGTGACTTGAAGCCAGGATCTGGTTTTCTCTGCCCAGCCCCTCTCTGGCTTACCATGTGACCAAGGGTAAATGAATTAGCCGCTCTAAGCTTCAGTTACCCTTCTGGGAAGCAAAGATATTAATACCTTACAGAGGTGTTTCAGCATGCTTCATATTGGGCACATGCTTTGAGGTCATTGGATGAAAGGTGTTTGCATTATGGCAAAGCAGACTTATTATAGGGTCTTGAGCAGGTGTTCCTTTTTAATGAGCTTTGCTCTCTTATAACATCCAGTGCCCTTTGGTGCCCCATTGCCTTACTGACTGTAATTACCATTAACCCAACATTTGGATTATTGGCCCTCTGGCTTTTTGGAAAAAAAATTAAACAGTTTTGTACTGTGTGGTAAGTTGAGGTACAAATAAGAGGACTCCAGCATCTTCCAGGGTGGTGAAAAATAGCTTCAAAAAGAAACATTAGTTGAAAAGGACCATAGAGATCAGTGAGTTCTTCAAAGCTCCTCCAAAAGATGAAAAAGAATAAAGCAAACGTCTGTGTGTATGTGAGCATGCGTGTTTTAAGGGAGAAAGTTTTCAGTAATATTTGCTTGTGACACATACTGATGATAGCCAGTAACTGAATCCCAGCCATTGTAGTGTTTTATACACAGCTGGTTTTTATTAATGATGGAATATTTATGCTTGCTGTACAATTCGTGGCTCATTTCCATGTGTATGTCAGAACTTAAATACCCCCAAAAGAAACATTAAGACAACATGAAATATAAATGTGGCCAAGCTAGGAAGGGTGGATTTGGTGGGAAGTGTCCCTTATTCTTATTGGTGACGCATCAGACCACAATAACCGTGCCCCCCCGCCCCCACTACCAACTTTAGGCATTGATGCTGATTTTTTTTCCCCTTATATATACCCCATAGCAAACTTCATATCTTGATCTTTTTGATATGGACAAATGATCTGCTCTCCCCTTTATAATGCAGATAAAACTGATGTATGTGTTTTTTAAGAGCATATTTTCCCTGCACATGCTTCTCATTATCCGAGAGGCCTGGACTCAATCAGTAAAGGAGCAGAGAAACCACATAATTGAAAGGAGAATGACGGTGGTGCATACTTGGAATATTTGTGGGAAGGGGATTGCTGACATCAGAAAATGTAGTGGCCTGAGTGTTAACAGCATTGAAGAGAAATCAGCTTTCTGTGTGTCCGTGTATTGAGAATTATTTTTAAGGGAATAAAATTATGGGCCAGGTTTGACATCCTTTTATGAAGTTGCCCTGGAAACTTTGATGAAGGTTGTTAAAGAATAGCTCAATTAAAACCTTCCCCATTAGGAAGCTAATTAGTACATCCTTTACTCATTTTGGTTGTTTTCAAGGGGCATGTATTTGCATTGAATTAGTGACATTTGTTCCATGTGATAGCAAACTAAGATAAAAATCACAGATGGGGAAAATTATTTAGATTGCCTGTTTTGAAGAAACCTAATTTCCTCTTTATTACATTTAGATTTTCAGTTCAGATTTTTGTTTTATAATATTTATATACAATGATCACATTTTAGTGTGGTAGCCAGTTTTGCTTTCTGGATCATGGGCTTGTAAACCAAAGCTTATTTGAATTTGCCATATGAATTAGGGAAATAGGACAAATGACAAACCATTTTATTAAGGTAAGATTTGATTTTTTTTTTTGTGCAGTTAGTTTCTCTTTGGTCTCTGTGTGTGCCTGAGAGAGAGAGTGGGGGAGGCACATTGTTTTTGTTTTTAAAGCAGACAATTTTTGGAGCTAAGAAAATTTTGATGACCCCCTTTACTCCCAGGAACATTCTATCTGCCTCAGGCTGCCAGTTGGGCTTTCGTTAGGCTAATATGATGAATTTTCTGACTTGGTGCTTTCTGTGACCAGGCTAAGCGGTTCTTCCTTGGAAGCCTGAAGGAGAGAGGTTATGGTGAGAAGAGGAGTGCAAGATTTCTAGCAGTTCTTTTTTGCTGTATTTCATCTTTTTTTGGGGTGGGGAGTGAGTACTTCTGAGATTTCAGGGCTGTTTGCAGTAGAGTCAATGCTCTGTAGCTAAATATAAAATGTGGGTCTGTTGTGGCCCTCCTTTGTCCCCATCACTTCAGGAGATGGTTATTCTGTACCTAGGTTCCCTGATGCTGTGCCCATGACATAGATGTATGCCTGCAATGGTTTGTGCAAGTGAGAAAGTTAGTTGAGTTATATGATTTGTGATTTAACTGGTCTCACCGTAGTCCTTCCCGGGAAGGCATAGTTTAGATGCAGTTCTGCAGTGGCACCTCAGGCAAGGCAGGTTCCCTGTGCTTGCAAGGCAACAGCAGGAGGAGGAGGGGCTGCCTTCTGCCTTCAGAGAGTGACTCAAGCCCTTCGGTATGAAGATATGAAATGCTGGCTCCTGTCCATGCACCTGCTGGATGCCACACCTGCAGTCAGCACCTGAGCCCTACGCAGACACAGAAACCAGACTGAAGGCAGATGAGGCTCCCTTCAAAAGGGGTGCAGCAAAACAGAGAGCTCCCAATTATGTGAGCAGACCCCCACTGGGGATTGAGTTTAGTCATCCCAGTGTTGGCATGGGGAAACATCTTATTTTCCTTTTTTTTCTTGTTGTTAAGATTATTTTCTTTCAGATGCAGCTCACTCACTTAGGTATGATACTGTTGGGGTGCGGGAGTTTGCTCTTTCCTGATGAATTTCTCTTGTGAACTGTCCTCCTAAAAACCAGAGAGGCAATTCTGTGGAGGGTTGTGTTTTGAACCAAGCACACAGCAAGAAGTCATAAGACCTGGGTTTTGATCCTTGCCCTACCAGTGGGCAACAGTGAAATTCTGGTCCAATTAGTTATGATTAGCTATTTGTTCTGGACTTGAGCTTCCCTCGCCAGTTCTAAAATGGAATTAATCACATCTACCTTTATTTCCCCACAGAGCTGCTGAGAAGGACAAATAAGATAGCAGAAGTGAAAGAACTTTTGTCTCCTTAGAAGGAAGACTGAGAAACTAAAGGTAATATTATTATTATTCCATGTCTTTCTTTGTTTTCTTCTGCTGCTGTGGCCTCTAGCAAAGTTTTGGGGAAGTTATCATTCACTCAATATGCAACTATTAAGCACATTTTATGTACCAGTTAATGTTTTAGGTATTGGGATGGATACAATGAAAAATCACGCACCCAGCCCATGCCCTCTAAGATCTTACAGTCTAGCAACTTCCATTTCCATTTCTGGCTCAACCCGTAACAGTGATTGCTACCTGGGCACTCAGAAGCTTAAAAGGTGAGAATTAACTTCTTTTTTTCTCTCTGCACTACATCTGGGGATTTCTGTCCCTGGAGCAGTATATTCCAAGGTCTAGATTGGAGATATATGGGAGGAAAGCCATAGGGACAAATAAAGGATTTTCTTTCCCTCCCACATTTGCAAAGTACCTAACTCTTGAATGATCATTTTTTTCCAGAAGTCCATGTTTAGTTTCATCTTGGGTTCTGTGGTGTTCCTAATCAATATGGTCCAGCCATCTCTTATGACCTTAGCTGTTATCCTTATGCTAATGAATCCCAAAGATATATCTCGACCTATCTTTGATGTCAAGTTGGTCATCACATTCCATGTCTTCTATTCAGCTCATAGGTTTTTGATTTTTCCTCCTCTTGGAAGCTTTTTCAGGTAGCCTGGGGTTTTTGGCAGAGCTCTCTGTGTTGCTGGAGCTATTAGCTCATACCTCTGTTCTCCTGTTGAATTGTGCCTCCTCTGCTTGACTGGGAGCTCCTCGAGGACTGGGATCATTTTTTTGTTTGTTTGTCTTTTTGAGACGAAGTCTTGCTCTGTTACCCAGGCTGGAGTGCAGTGGCGCGATCTCAGCTCACTGCAACCTCTGCCTCCCAGGTTCAAGCAATTCTCCTGCCTCAGCCTCCCGAGTAGCTGGGATTATAAGCACCCACTACCCACTACTTCACCTGTCTAATTTTTGTAGTTTTAGGAGAGAGGGGGTTTAACCATCTTGGCCAGGCTGGTCTCGAACTCCTGACCTCATGATCAACCTGTCTTGGCCTCCCAAAGTGCTAGGATCATAGGTGTGAGTGAGCCACTGTACCCAGCCGGGCTTTGCTTTACTTTTTTATTTATTTTTTTGCCACCCTAGGGCTTACCTAGTACAGTGTCTGGCTACAGTAACTGCTCAGTAAATGTTTGTGGAAAATATGCTGTGATAAGTGTCATGATAGAGAATTTATTTTCCATATTGAGCAGAGTTGAGGTCAGGAATAGATGGAGAGGGATTAGGGAAAACCTTCAAAGAGAAGGTGGAAAGCAGAACTGCCTTATTTTGGGAGTTCTGGCTAAGAAGTCAAGGAGAGAATGCCTGTTGTGTCCACTCTTGCTAAACCAAGGGCATCTCTGGACTATTGCCTCCCCTGCTTTAGGACTGGATGACTTTTATGGTCAGGTCTGCAAATAAACCTGTGTATAATACATTGACCATTTAAGACAGGTGTCACTTAGTCATATAATGTTAAACAGAGCTGACCCTAAGTGTGCCACCTTAACTGAGGCTGAAAATAGAGCTACACACACAGGCTCATTGATCATGCCTGCTTAGTTCTATACAGCAAAGTGTTCCTTAAGATATATTGAAGATTGGGATCTAAAAACTGACAAATTCAATTATCAGAATGTAAGCAGGTTGGATCATAAGAACTGAATGTCTTCAAGCTGACTGTCAGATCTTTCCAAGGGCAAAAATGAAAGATGATATAAGCTATTACAGGCCATGAACCTGTTCTCACCCACCTGATGCTTTTACTAATTAGCTTCTTGGCTGAGTGGCAATTTGGGGCAAGTGCACGCAAGCTGGATTCACAGGGGAGCCTGCATTCCACTCTGCCATTTTGCAAGCCACTGGGATACTACACTGCTTCTCTTGGCTTCTTTCCCTCCCAGGAGCCCTGCTCTGCCCTGGTGGAAAAATGAGAGCAGGAGAAATTTTCATTAAATGAGGGAGGGATTTCATGGGACTGTGGTGTTTTGCTAATTTTATTTTTTAGTGGGTTGTCTAAAAACATTTATGCTTCTTGGCCCATCAGTTTCGCTTCTGGGATTCTATCACAGAGAAACAATCTACAGTATTGAAAAAGGTTAAATCACAAAGATGTTTTTGTAACATTATTTAGACTGGCATAAAATTGGAAGCAATTTATATATCTTAATAATTGAAGAATGGGTAAGTGAATGCTGATACACTTGTTTAATGCACTATTATGCAGCCATTACAATGTTATGAAGTTATGCTACAACACGGAAAAAGTGTTTATGACGAAGTGAAATGCAGGATCCAAAATTACATCTTATTAATAATTCATTGCTTTGTAAAAACACAAATACACATAGGAAAAATAATGTTAACAATGTTTAAGTTGAGGTGCTGGGATTATAAGTGATTTTTTTCTTTATTAAAATATATGCATGTGGTGCTTATATTACTTTTAAAATAAAATATAAGTAGATATGAAAATGGGTGGTCTGCCATTGGAGGTTAGAGATTGGTAAAGCAGGCAGCTTCTAGGTGTATTCTTCAACTTTTCTCACTTTAGGCTCAATCTGATTATAGGGTTCCTTTATACTTTTCCTGAGACAATAAGGAAGGGGATGTGATGACATTGTCTACTCCTCTTTTGGAGTGGATGTTTGTGCTGGGGGGGTAGAGGGAGGTGGCAGCTGGATTCTCCTTGCTACGCAGTATGTCACTGGTCACATGCACTTGAGGGTTGATCACATTTGTTGCCTATAAACATATTCAAGGTAATTGCTTCAGAGCAAAGCAAAGTCAAACGGGGACCAAAAACAACCAAGACCTTGAGTTACCATCTCAGAAACGGATCTCACACTGATCTCCAGTAAGATTTGCAAATGCCAAGGCTTTGCTTTGGTTCTTAAAATAATTTTTCAACCTAATCTCACAGGTTGGTGCAAAAATAATTGCGGTTTTTGCAATAGAGTGTATTAAACCATTCTTGCATTGCTATAAAGAAATACCTGAGACTGGGGTAATTTATAAAGAAAAATGTTTTAATTGGCTCACTGTTCTGCAGGCTTTATGGGAAGCATGGTGTGAACATCTACTTGGCTTCACAGGCAAGGGCCTCAGGTCAGGAAGCTGGCAATCATGGCAGAAGGTGATGGGGGAGCAAGTACATCACGTGGCAAAAGCCAGAGCAGGAGACAACAGGGGAAGGTGCCACACATTTTTAAACTACCAGATCTTGTGAGAACTCACTATCAGAACAGCACCAAGAAGTTCTGCCCCCATGATCCAATCACCTCTCACGAAACCTCACAATTCAACATGAGATTTGGGCAGGGACACACATCCAGACTATACCACAGAGAAGCAAAGAAGAGTTGGGGCTAACTTCTCTTAAGCCTTTTCTTAAACTTGTGCTAGATTTAAGTAAAAGCAAATGCCAAGATGGTATGATGTTGAAAAGACCTGGAATAGGGTCCCTGGAAACATCCATCTGTGGAGGTTCATGTTGCTGTTCAATCCATCTCACATCTTAGCCTAAAAAGAGAATTTGCAAAGCTATTCTATAATAATTCTAGCTAAACACTTCCCTCATACCTCCTTGAATTTTCCTTCCTTTCATTAACATTTTACTTCCAATGAAACTGGAAAAGCAGTGGTAACATTAAGGCAGGTTTATAGCCTTTTAAAACCAGGGTCAATTCTATGTAATAAATAGTTATTAAGCATCTTCTTTGTACAAGCAAATAATGCTAGATAATATGTTGTAGTGGAAGGGCTCTTGTCCTAGGTGTTATAAAGACTTTCATTTTGGTACTGGCTCTCTCTCTCTTATCCCTTAGAGGCCTTGGCATCTTCATCTATAGAAGAAGAGGGTGGGACCACTAGGTGGTCTCCCAAAACATTTCCAGTTCTGGCTTTTAGTGATCTAAGGACCCCTGTGTAGTAGACTGAGTTGTAAACAAAGGTTTCTTAAAAAAAAAAAAACATTTCTTCATAAAATTGCTGTATACTTCTTAAAAAAACCTACTTAAAAATAATAGTTATAGTAATAGCTTACTTTTATTGAGGCCTTACTATGTGCCAGGCTCCATGCTTAGCACTTTAAATGGATTAATTCCCTTAGTGTTTATAATAATCCTATGAAGTATGAGCACCATTATCGCTATTTTGCAGATGATGAAATTGAGACTCAATTCATCAAGAATTGATGGCAGATCAAGAGACGTGTACAAGGTCTGTTAGTAAGTCATAGATCCAGGATTTAAACTTGGGCAGTGTGATTCTAGGCCCAGACTCTGTACCATGGTGCTTATGATGCCTATCCATTACCTGTTGAAAGTTTAGGGATAACCTGCAAAAGGACTATTGTTTTTCGCATCCCAAATGAGATTAATTGGTATCTTGGGTTGCAAGACTGTTGGGAAAGGTATTCTCTAGGGTACTTTGGCTACAATGTGGACCAACCTGAGAGAACATAAGAATTTACTGGGGCATCTCACTTTTTGTGAGAGGTTTTGTGTGTGTGTGTGTGTTTGTGTGTGTTTGCACAAATATATACACATAGGTGCAGGAAAAACTTTGAACTGGCCCCTTTCCATTTATCTGGGAGTCAAATTGGATGAAACAAGTTGACAAAGATTTGGCAGCGACACAGGTTTCTTAGACTTAGATTCTTCATCCTGGTTGGAAGAATGAGAGGTAGGGGCAGAATGTGGGAGGGTTTAGAAGAGGGAATAGAAAGAAGATATTATAGGTATATTGCACAATTTATTTGAAGGGTGGGAATTTGGTCTTTCCTGACCCCTAGTAATGTTGATTTTCTGGGACTTGTCTTGGGAAACATCAAGGCTCTCATTAACATGTTTTGGCTCACCCTCCCAGGTGTATTGGGAGAGGCCAATGACTGCAAATGGAGTAAGAATTTAGCTTGGCCTTGCTTGCCTGTCGTTGTTAAAGAAGAGTCAATTATATAGATTCGAATTACATTTTAAAAGACAGAACCACAGTTACTCTTTTTTTTCTATCAAATATTCTCAGAGACATTCTGTGTGCCCAGGAGAAAGAAGGTTATTTTATTGATTGAAGATGGTGTCAGACCCCTGGCAGCGGCATGATTAAAGCTATGGGGAGATTAAAGGTTACAGAATTCATACTGTTTTAGTTCTTGTGCATGAAACAAGGAGCATTTTCCTTTCCTTCTCTAATAAATAAATGGAGTAGTGTTTTCCTCATTATGTGACTCTTGACATGTAGATGAACATAAGTTCTAAGAAAAAATAGTAAACTGGAGAGGACTCTGCAAAGCTTTTATCTTAAGCTGATTTCTTTTTCTCTTTCAAACAGAAACAAAGATGGCAGGAGGGATGTGAGGGTAGGGGAACGATCTGTGTTCAGTTAACATAAAGTGATTTGGGTTTTCAAAAGGATATTGAGGGGCCGAGTGTGGTGGCTGACGCCTGTAATCCCAGCACTTTGTGAGGCCGAGGTGGGCAGATCACCTGAGGTGTCAGGAGTTCAAGACCATGCTGGCCAATGTGGTGAAACCCTGCCTCTACTAAAAATATGAAAATTAGCCAGACATGTTGACACACATCTGTAATCCTGGCTACATGGGAGGCTGAAGCAGAAGAATCACTTGAACCTGGGAGGCAGAGGTTGCAGTGAGCTGAGATCCTGCCACTGCACTCCAGCCTGGGCAACAGAGCAAGACTCATCTCAAAAATGAATGAATGAATGAATGAGTAAATAAATAAATGATACAGAGAACAAAATTGAGAGAAGAGAGTAAGATCTTGCACAAGTAAAGTTTTCTCAATGAGGAGCTGAGTATCAGGAGAAAGCCAGTAATATCAGCATGAAGATCTAAATAGTACTGGAAAAGAATCATATGGTAGTTTCTCTCCAGAGACTCAAGTTTAAAAGCCTTGGGCTGTTTTCTGGCGTTTCAGTTGGAATACAAGGATGAATGTTTTGTTCAGAATTGGACAATAGAAGCATGGTGGTTATTTACTATAGCTCTGTTAACAGTCCAGCTTTGATTCCCATTAGTAGTTGTTCCTCTGCTTCAAAATTAGGGGAGACACCGTAAAATAATTACCTTGCAGATTGGAGATGATTTTGCTTTTGATCATGATTATATGTTGTGTCAAAACAAGATGGAAAGACGTTTCCATGTTTGTTCACTCTATATCTGTTCACTTTATTTTTGTCAACATTGCAAGGAAATAATGTTAAATGAGTCACTGTGTCATTTTGTGAATTTTTTTAAAACTTAAATGTTTTGTACACACTCTCAAAATACAGAGATATTTGTGTACTTCTTTTGCATTGCTTTTCTCCTCACATGGAGTCACTGGTGTGGATTAAGCCTTTCCTTTAAGTGATATGAATGAATCATAGATAGGCCAGGACAGAAGATAGGAATGTGGTTCATGTGCATGTCACTTAACTCAAACTGCTGAGTCTTAGAGTCATTTTGATTAGGCTGGGAGGGCTTTGCAGAGAGTCCAAGCAGAAATTAGACATAAGGACTATCTCAAATCCAGGTTTATTAGGCATTTACATCTAGTCTATATAATGTACCTCTGTGAGTTTTCTTTGCTGAGACACTGGGGCAATGGAAATACCAAGAAAGCAATTGGCGGCATCTTCTGCTTGGAGAAGGGTTGCACTCTGTGTTGAGGAGGGCAGTCTACTTTCCTACTCCAAGAATGGATGGACCATTGGTCAGGATAGTCAGAGTGTAAGCTCCATGAGGGCAGGAATTATATTTTATGTGTCTTTGTAGCCCTCACTGTGTCTAGCATGAAGCTGACAAATGTCTGGAATAGTCGATGTGCAATAAATACTTAATGGCTTGGTTGAAAAGAAGTTTTTTTTTCTGCCCATCTGAGGTTGAGGCGCTCAAATTGGGAGCCTCACTGAGTATTATTATTATTATTTTTTTGAACAAAAACCTACCTTATGATGACTGCCCTCCCTTCTGGGAGGTGGGACAGTGAGCCTTACTAACCTGCCCTGCTACTAATAGCAGTTTAAAGGTTGCACCCTAAAGGTGACAGTGGTTTTGGTTTTTATCATCATCCACCATTCCAACTGGGAGTGGAAGCAGTAGCTTTCTAGGGCTGCGAGGTCAGAACAGAGCAAGCCTTTCTAGTCTCAGACCTGAACATTTCCATCACTGGAGACCGGCCTGGCCTTCTGGACACACCTGCTGGACACTGAGGTTTCTTTTCTGCCCTAGTGGAGATGGACTCTGCTACTCATTTAAAAGCCAAGCACCATAGGAGGACAACTCATTCTCTTGGAAGAACTGGTTTGATTAACTGCTGGCCATTGGTGGCAAAATAGAAACGACGTTTTTATTTCTCCCTTCCCCTCCTGAACATTTCAGAGTGACCAGTGGTTGGACTCTTGGCGGCGCTTACCCTGAACCTGAGTGTTAGGGGAGAGGGAATCTGCCGTTGCGGTTTCTGGAGCTGCTCATAAGCAAGAATTCCCTATCCTGTTCAAGGCTTTAAGCCTAAAAGAAAGCAGAAATAGGTATGGAATATCTCCGTTTGAGTGTATGTGTGCTCACGTGTGTGTGTATGCATGTGTGCCTGTGTGCATGCTGGGTGGGAAGGGTGTGATGTGGGAGGGGGTGGTATAGTTTTCAGGGTCTAGGGCAGCTCAATGTCTGCATTTCCCTGCTTTGCAGGGAGGGTTCGTGAGTCATTTTTGCTTTAATACCATACATGTTCCTGTTTCCATTTTTTGAGCAAGGAACAGTAATTTGGTAGTCATCTCTCTAGTTTTGGGCACCAAAAAAGATTTATATATTATGTTTGTTAGCCTATCAGAATATCCCAATTTGACAGTCCTGAATGGACACTGGGAGGAAGGGAAAAGGAACTGGGTTGCTTAACCCACTGGTGTGCTCTTCCTAAGAGGTTATGATAAAAGGGACTTTGGAGGGTCCCTTTGTGTTGTCAGACTGCCCAACACAGCAGCTGGAAGCCAGGTAGCAGTAACGAACAAGAAGTGAAGAAAGGGAGAAGAGAACTTTCTTTATATACTATACATACATTCTGGGCCACTCATTCTGCATGACCAAAAGTAAGGGGTTCATGTTTCCAGAGAGACTACAGGCCACTTAATGTCATGGAAATAAGAGCCTGGGAGCCAGGGATCCAGAGTTGTCCTCTGGAAACCTGATACTGGTTAAATTGACCTTTATCGTGACTTTTTGTGTAACATTGTGTTCATTCTCCACCAATTACTTAAGATCCTTAGAGCGAAAGTTTCGTTACTGAACATCAGTATTTAATTCCAATACTTAACATGACAGATTCTGTCCAAAGAATTTTTGAATCTCTAATGAATTAGTGTGTACTATACAGTGCTGAGAGAGAGAGAAGTCATCTAGCACTCATTTTTCAGTTGAGAAGATAGAAGTCAAGAAAAGACGAATCAGTTGTTTATCCCATAAACCAATAGTATGATTCAAATTTGAATATTAAATTATGTTATTAAAGTTATCAGTTTCAGTCAACCCATAGTACCGTTTTAGAAGAATTGGTAGTGAGGGAGGTATATGCTAATCATATGCCCTTTCCAGAAGGATGACCTTTATATTTTTCAATTTCTAAATTTTGTCCAAGGCACACTTCAAATGAAAGCAGCTTCCCCTTTAAGCTTTTCTTACCCAATAACAACAGCAACAAATCTCAATGACTATTTCTGGAGGGCCGAAAGAGCAACTTTGTCGGTAATAAGTATTCCAAGTCCTTCCCTTATTAAGCCAAGGAGCATCCAAAATGGACACTACAAAAAGGATTTTTTAAAAAGATGTTTCAGAGCCTTATGAGATCAGAGGAAAAGATTTGCATCAAGGCAGGGATCATTACTATCTGGCGCAAGCCAAGCAATCTTCACTTTTTATTTTTTTGAGTCTTTATTTTGGATTTTGTAGTTCTCTTCATATACTGAGGTGCTTTACAAATTCTGTCATGGGGTGACTTTCCCCACTGTCCTGCCCCCACTTCCACAGCCATTAGAGTTGGGTTTTTAATTTAAATAGAATACAGAGAGATGAAGCCTGTGAGTGTGGACCTTGAAAGGTTACACACTTTGGCTACCCTACTTGACTGTTCCAGGTTTCTCAAGCGTTCTTAGGAGTTAAGTCCAAATTAAATATTTAACTCATGCTGAAAGTGAAAGAGGAAACCTAGAGCTCTTATGCCTCCACGTTCCTCCTCATATCAGTGCTAGAGTCCAGAATCCCCAACAGTCTATTAATTTTAGACTCAGTTCTCTACTTTGTTTCTGCGATAGAATCCTCACCCTCCAATATCCATTTTGTTTCCTTTAGAGGACTAATTTATCCATCAACTAGGTGTTAAGCTTCCTGTTTCCCCTTCCCAGGTCAAGGGCAGCCCAGGTGCCCAATTTCTCTCTCTCTTCACAAGGCACCACCAGCAATAGAGATGAGAAATTCTGAAGAACAGCCAAGTGGAGGGACCACAGTATTGCAGCGTCTGCTACAAGAGCAGCTTCGCTATGGCAATCCTAGTGAGAATCGCAGCCTACTTGCCATACACCAGCAAGCCACAGGGAATGGCCCTCCTTTCCCCAGTGGCAGTGGGAACCCAGTCCCTCAGAGTGATGTGTTGAGTCCCCAAGACCACCACCAACAGCTAGTGGCTCATGCAGCTCGACAAGAACCCCAGGGGCAGGAAATCCAGTCAGAAAACATCATCATGGAGAAGCAGCTATCTCCTCGAATGCAGAATAATGAAGAACTCCCGACCTATGAAGAAGCCAAGGTCCAGTCCCAGTACTTTCGGGGCCAACAGCATGCCAGTGTTGGAGCTGCCTTCTATGTCACTGGAGTCACCAACCAGAAGATGAGGACCGAGGGACGCCCATCAGTTCAGCGGCTCAATCCTGGAAAGATGCACCAAGATGAAGGACTCAGAGACCTTAAGCAAGGGCATGTCCGTTCCTTGAGTGAACGACTAATGCAGATGTCACTGGCCACCAGTGGAGTTAAGGCCCATCCACCTGTTACCAGTGCTCCCCTCTCCCCACCACAACCCAATGACCTCTACAAGAATCCCACAAGTTCCAGTGAATTCTACAAGGCCCAAGGGCCACTTCCTAACCACCATAGCCTGAAGGGCATGGAACACCGAGGCCCCCCACCAGAGTATCCCTTCAAGGGCATGCCACCCCAGTCTGTAGTGTGCAAGCCCCAAGAGCCAGGGCACTTCTATAGTGAGCATCGCCTGAACCAGCCAGGGAGAACAGAGGGGCAACTGATGAGGTATCAGCATCCCCCTGAGTATGGAGCAGCCAGGTAAGAGAGTTCTCTTTCTGTCATTTCCTGACCTCATCCCCAACCAGCTTCTGCTGTGTGTTGGGAATCTTACGGAAGGAATGGGCAGGTGTTTGGTATAACAAACTGCAATGCATGGCAGGCCTCTGGCTTAGTGAATTGCCTGCCAACCTGAACTTGTAGCCTCTTTAGCCATAATTGGCACTGTATTAGCATTCCCTTAGCTTTGTAGGTTGACCATGGCGTCAACTCCCTAGTGGATGAACAGGAGCAGAAGTCTTGATTTCAGCAGCTATTCACTGTCCTCTCTCCTAGGATGTTGAAGAAGGGGTCTGTGTTTCTCTGAAGCCCTCCTAGAGAAGTAGAAACAAATGATCTTGCACATTAATTAGTCCAGAATATCCTATCACTTGCACATACTCCCCTCTATCATTTATTTTTGCAAACAACTCTGTATATTTCTTGTCAGTTATCGTTTTCCATAGAATTACCATAATTCTTCTGGACACTAGACAAACACCCAGATGTTATGGTGGGGGAGCTATGTATGTATGTAGGTTCAGAATGTTACTTGCCTTATACTTGCAGTTTATGAAGGTCTGAACTGTTTTGTCTTTTTTTGGTAGAGAGTTTATTAGTTGCCTGTCACATTTTTAAAGCTTTGAGTTAAATTCCCATTACACTGTAATAGAAATTTTGGTCAGATGCTAAAATACAGGAGGAAAAATATTACCATGGTTCCTGTCTTATATATTTAGTTGTTCCTATATATACTTCTTAATTATTCAGAGGTCCATTGTCCCCCTGCTGTATTCACTAGACCTTATGATTCTGTGATTCTGTTCATTGTTCCTATTGTTAATATTTGGGCTATGTCTCTGATGAGTAGTATTTCAACATAGAGGGAAGGGGAAAAGGCTTAAACCGTGGGCACCGATGGTGGCATTTAAGTGTGGTATTCCTGCCTCATGACAATGAGTAATGATGGGTGGCCATCAGGTTTGAAGTGCTTGGTCCGAGGCTGGCCTTCATCTCTATGCGGCTTACAGACTAGGTCTGTGATGTCCTTTGATGTTTACCTCTTTGTCTCCTGTACTCTACTTGCTCATTTTGGAAAAAATATCTTGGCTTGAAGTTCATTGAGTGACTCAGGAGAAAAGGCAGTCGGGGGTGGAGTAGGGTGAAAGTAAGAGAAGGCACCTAGCATTTCCTGGTATTTCTTTTTTCCCCCTCCAGGTCCTGTTTTTTTTTTTTAGCTAGAGGCAATTCACTTTGGACTCCACCCCTAACTTTTTCAGTTTAGGATTTTTTTTTTTCTCTTTTTACCCAGGTTGATTTCCTAACCCTTTTCAACCTACTCTGTGCAGTTTTCAAAGGGCAGGAACCTATGTTCTGATAAGTGTCTTGGAACAGGAAATGGGGTAACCAACAGGGCCATTCAGGTTTAAAACAGAGCAAGAACCAGATTCCCATCTGACCAATGAAACTGAAGACCCAGGGGTGGGTTGGTCTGTTCAAGACTGCTTCACTTAATGGAAACCCATTCAAGACAGCAAAATGTCGATGAAGCTGGGGGTTTTTTGTTTTGCTTTTCCCATCAGTATGGAAGAGTCTGTCGATGGGGCTGACGTTGGCTGCCTTGTGGGAGGGGAGTGTGTTGGCTGGGGTGTGGAGCAGAAGCCACAGCCCCACTCAGCACACAGCCCGCCTTCCCAGGAAAGCTATTTTGAGAACTCATTCACCAGTATTGTTGGTGATCTGAAATGACTCCCACAGTGTTTGAAGCTAGATGGAAAAGCCCTTTGATCTGCCTAAATAAATAATAAAGAGCCCAAAGAGGTTTTCTTTTCTTCCCATGCTGATTAAACCACCAGAGAAATTTAGCTGCATGTATTTTACAGGAAGATACATATTTTTTATCCTCCTACCTAAGTTATCTGTGGATTTCTCTTTTCTTTCTGTCCTCAAAAGCGAGAGTCCATACTGATCTACCGTTGTTGAGTAGCATTTTAATACACAGTTTTGCTGTAACGGTTTTTTTCTCTATGGGAGAGGAGCGGAATGCTTGATAATGCTTGATGAATAAGCAAACCTAAAATGGCCCTAGTGGGAGGATGCTCCATATGAAATTTGGGTCTGCATCAGGCAAATTCTGGCTGTAAAATTGTTGCCGGGACCTACATGAGGGAGTGGCACCTATTGACAAATTACTGGCAAAAGGAGGTGGTTGAACTGCTTTCCAGAAGGGTACTGCTTTTAGGTGCTGACACATTTTCCCTCCTTTATTTCCTTTAACCAACTAGCTATACAGTTTGTGAGTACCTTTCCTAGTAACTGCTGCTAGCAGCAACCAATTAGAAGACTAAATTCTGAGTCCTTAATCCACAAATTACGGATCAGGATGCAAAGCAGGCTCTTTGAGCAAATTGCTGTTAAGAAAACATTTGTTTCCTTTTAGAGGTGCAGTGAACTGCTGGAGGTTTGCTGTTAAAATGAACAAAATGTTACAAACAATCCTTTTATTACTTCATCTTTCCTATGCCCTCCTCCCTACTTAAAAAATAAATATCTTCAATGCCCAGAACTCCAGATGAGAAACAAGGCCAAGCCATCTGAAGAATTTTAAAATTTCAGAATCTTTGTCTTTCTAAGTGCTGAACCTCTTCTGCATCCCGGGTTCATACATTTATTAACTGCTTTTCAAAATTAAATCATTTCTGTTTATAAAGCAGCCACCTCCTTTCAGTTGTTGAAATCATGCCCAGATCTGGGGTTTCTTGAAATCCTTGTTTAGTGGAATCTAAGGGTGACCTAACTCTAGTTCAGAGCAGAGCTGGTTGTGCAAGAGAAACCATCAGGAATTTGCAGCCTGCTCCAGGATTCACAGATTCACCGATTCACCATTGCAGAGCCTGGGAAAGGCAGTTTCTGTGGTGAGGATCAATTGAGTTCCAGGCTATTGGTGGCAGCTGCTCTGGTGAGAGTGTGTGTGCAGGCTTGCACATGTGTGGGCCAGGAGTGTGGAGTGTGTGCAAGTGTGTGTGGCTGGGGAGGGACAGGGCTCCCGGTGATTGAGGTGGTAGGGTGGAAGGTACTCTGTCAGCTGGGTAGAGTGGTTTTTACTTTCCCTTTGTGTCCTTACAGTTGTCTCTGGGAGAGAGTGTACTCCCAAACCCATTCCCCAAGCTTTGAGGAGGATCCTGATTTTAGTCACCAGCCTTTGTCCTGCATATATGCTATGTCCCTTTTTCTGCAGAGCCCCAGTGGCCCACGTAGCTTTAGGAAGGAGCAGGGTGAAGGGAGGGAAGTGAAGGGAGGGAAGTGACGGGAGGCAGGTCAGGGCTTGCATGGAATCATATGATTCTGTTGTCTGCAGGCGGCTTGTTGTTCCTAGTTAACGTGTCAGTGGGGAGTGATTCAGACTGCTGTGTGCCGCTCACGTGGCTGCCACCTTTTTTATTACTGTCATTACTCTTACTGTTATTATTTAATCTTGGGTGTATTTTGGCTTCCTTTGACGTCCCCCCACACTCTTCCTTACCCCTGTCATTCCTTAGTCTCTTTTTCTCAGGGGGAGCTTCACTCCAGTGTTCATTCCCTCCTGTTTCCTCCTGGTGGGTGGATGCTGGAGCCCAGATGGAGTTCTTCACTGAAGGGCTTTCTCTTCCTTTTCAACTGCCCAAGCCGTTGCTTGTTTGCAAACCAACCGGTGACGGGCTGCCTTGATTTTTCCAACATCACAGTGCACTGAGATCTGCTTCCTTTTCCAGCCTGGGGAACTGAGGGGCAGCTGCCTTGTCTCTGTTTATCTTCATCCTCAGCTTATCTGACCCTAGAGACCTCCTTCTAGAGACCTTGTGGTCTCTTTCCCAAGGACCCTGGAAGGCTATGTGTTGTTGTCCACGGAATGGAGGGGACTTTCAGTCTCCAGGCAGGAGGGAGGACAGTGGCCGAGTTTGTTTGAGAGAAAGGCCTGAGTTGTTTGATGAGACCCAGGGGAGCAGTCGGGAGAAAGCCCAGTTCAAAACTGGGCGTTCAGTCTTTAAAAGAGAACACCTCCCAGGTCTTGGACTTGCAAATCCTGGGAATGAGAATGAAGATTAATACTGTGATTTTTTTCCTTAAATTTTGAGAGCTGCATTGGAGAACATGAAATTTAAGCCCCTCTTTTTCTTTTATTTCCCTCCCTCCCTCCCTCCCTCCCTCCCTCCCTCCCTCCCTCCCTCCCTTCCTTCCTTCCTTCCTTCCTTCCTTCCTTCCGTCCATCCTTCTTTTCCAAGACGGAGTCTTGCTCTGTCTCCCTGGCTGGAGTACAGTGGTGTGATCTCAGCTCACTGCAACCTCTGCCTCCTGGGTTCAAGTGATTCTCCTGCCTTAGCCTCCTGAGTAGCTGGGATTACAGTTGCCACCATGCCTGGCTAATTTTTGTATTTTTAGTAAAGATGGGGGTTTCACCATGTTGAACAGACCGGTCTTGAACTCCTTGCCTTGTGATCTGCCCTCCTTGGCCTCCCAAAGTGCTGGGATTACATGGGTGAGCCACCATACCTGGCCCAATCCCTCTTTTCTGCCTTCAAAGCAGAAAAGAGACAAGCCCCAACAAATCTCAGGACATTATATTTTAACTCTGTGGACATGTAGAAATTGCAATAGCTCTCATTCAAACAGGAAAGAGAGCACATAGTCTTTTACCTGTGAGGAAGATACATTAAATGGAAAATAGGAGCTTTTCACCAAATAAATGTATAAATAACTCCCAGGCTTTTGATTGAATGATTGCTTTGAGCTCTGGGGAAAAAAATGTTGTGTATGGCAGCATCTTTCCAGTTGTGCACTGAGATCTGCTTCCTGAGTACCATGTCAGTACTTCTGTGCCCAAGTAGTTTGCATGCCCTCTTCAGTATTTGGCAGTTATTTATAATGACAGATGTATGTGATTAGAAGAATGTGGGTACACCAGAGGCATAGATGGGGCTGAGGGACAGAATCCAGGGTTTGAACAGGTTTGAGGACTCTTGGAAAGATATATGTGATTGGGTATCCGTGAGAAAGTGTTTGGAATGATTTTGTAGCTATAAAAAGCCCTTCTAGTGAAGATCTCTTGTAGAGTTGGATAAATGAACAGTAATGGTAACTGGAGTATGTGTGGGAGGAATGTGCTTTAGCATCTGGAATGCCAGTTAAAAGTTAATTGCTTCTGGTGATTTGTCCCAGTTCCACCATGAATTTTATGCAATTTACTGCAAAGATTAAATGGATATCCTTTAAGTAACAAGCTAACAAGGTCAGCTTATCTCACTGGGAGGTAGAGAAGAGACTCTTTGTAATTCCTATTGCACCAAAAATGAGAAGACCCCAGTATTTTTGCAATTTATTTGTGACCTCAAGAATAAAACAGGCTCATGCAGATTAAGTAACTTGTGCAAGGTTACACAGCTAGTGAGCAGTAGAAAAGGTCTCCAGACTCCCTCTGTTAGGATCCAGATCCCATGCACTTAGCCATCTGTCTTCCCAGGATTGAGAAATATCAACTGTAGAACAAGTATCCACAGGACATGGGAGCATATGAGGATAGTTGGGCATGAGCTGGGGGGTGAACAAGCTTTTTGCCTTCAGTGCACACTGACAGATACTATTCCTGGTAGTGGTGATGGTGGAAGTGATCCATCCACATAGTCTGTTTCCCTTAATGGCTAATAGTCATTAGGTACGAATTATTTGTATCTAGGTATTAGCATTTTGTACCGGGTAATTAGTTATAAAAATGGGAGAGCTACATTAAACAATGTACCAAAAGTCTCTTTCTGGAACTTTCTATGAACAATAGGCTGGAAATCTGAATATCAGTGCACAGAAATCAATGCATTATGGCAGTAGAAAAAGCCAGAAATTGGGAATTGGGAAAGAAGGATTCTACCCTGGCACTACCACTCTATTATTTGGCAAATCTCTTCCCCTTTCTGGACCTCGTTCCCCATCTGTCCAATGATGGAGTTGGACAGAAAAACTAAGTAATTTTCTTTAAGGCCTTTCCCGTTCTTACATTTTGTGATTCATTACATCAAAAATAGTATGTTAGTGTTGCTTGTATACCTCTTTAAGTCTTTTTATGGTTACTGCTAATGGGAATCATTAAATCATTAACAAATGGAAATAATAATAATTACCTAGTGTCCCTACTACTAATATCTACCTATCCTCGAATAGATTTTTGGTGAATGTATGAATTACCTAAGGGAGTTGCAGATAGCAGGATGAGGGGTGATTTTTATGGTGGTTTGTTTTTTTCTTCCAAGCAAGTAGAACATGATTTCTTAACTAGGATCTTTACGTGTGCTGGACCACATGCATAATGTCAGAAAAGGTTTAATTTAAAATAATGAGATGAAAATTACCTTGTAAAAGAATAGTTTGAAATGTTTAGACTTGAGCAACGGGTCTACAGGTTTGTGTCACTACGATTTTCACCAAGTGACCATGGAGGTTGTCTGGTTCTGTCCCTCATGGGATCACACCTCTGTTTGTCAGGCAGAGTCACAGAAGGTCAGGCCGGGAAAGGGCTATAGTCTTTGCAGAGATAGAGCAGGCAGGGTTAGACTTCCACGTAGTCAGATCCTGCCTGTTCTTCATTTTGCATGTGTCCTGGAGGCCTCAGAAGCCTCATCTCACTTTCGTGTGCCCTTCTCCCCCAGTACCTTGGGAGAGAACGTAACCCGCACCTGCCCTTCATGTTTTACAGGCCAACGCAGGACATCTCATTGCCATTGTCAGCCAGGAACTCTCAGCCTCACAGCCCTACTTCTTCTCTGACCTCTGGGGGGTCCCTGCCCTTGCTACAATCTCCACCATCCACTAGATTGTCTCCTGGCCGACACCCCTTGGTCCCAAACCAGGGAGACCATTCAGCTCACCTGGCTAGGCCGCAGCAGCATTTCCTTCCTAATCAGGCTCACCAGGGGGATCATTACCGTCTCTCCCAACCTGGCCTGAGTCAGCAACAGCAGCAACAGCAGCAACAGCACCACCATCACCATCACCACCAACAGCAGCAGCCGCCGCCACAACAGCAGCCAGGAGAAGCCTATTCAGCTATGCCTCGGGCTCAGCCAACCTCTGCTTCTTATCAGCCAATGCCAGCAGACCCTTTTGCCATTGTTTCCAGAGCCCAGCAGATGGTTGAGATCCTCTCAGATGAAAACAGGAACTTGCGGCAGGAGTTGGAAGGATGCTATGAGAAGGTGGCCAGACTGCAGAAGGTGAGGCTTCCATTTTGGGGTATCAGAGTCTCTAAGTCTTATTTGTGGGACTTGTTTAATACCCATATTAAGTCTCCACTTGTGAATCCCAGCATTACTTATGGCAGGTGTTCTGGATTTTTGTATCCGAAGTTTAGATATGGGTCAAACTTTGGAAAAAGCCTTCTACCTATATACCTAGGAGAAGTAACATCTTACATTTACACAAGGAGGAAAAAATTTATGCAGTTTTTCTAGACGCCATAGCCCTGAAGAAACATGATAGATTCTTTTAGACTTCCAAAAAGCAATGATACTTCTCTTCTTTTTTTTATTTTTTATTTTTTTGAGACAGAGCTTTGCTCTTATTGCCCAGGCTGGAGTGCAGCAGCGCAATCTTAGATCACTGCGAACTCCACCTCCTGGGTTCAAATGATTTTCCTGCCTCAGCCTCCTGAGTAGCTGGGATTACAGGCCTGCACCATCATGCCTGGCTAAATTTTTATATATTTTTTAAGAGATGGGGTCTCGCTATGTTGCCCAGGCTGGAGTGCAGTGTCTATTCACAGGTGTGATCCCACTACTGATCACCACGGGAGTTTTGACCAGCTTTGTTTCTGACCTGGGCTGGTTCACCTCTCCTTAGGCAACCTGGTGGTCCCCCGTGCCTGGGAGGTCACCATATTGATGCCAAACTTAGTGCAAACACCCAATAGGCATAGCACGCTACAGTCCAGAGCTCCTGGATTCAAGCAGTCCTCCCACCTCAGCCTCCCAAGTAGCTGGAACTATAGGCACGAGCCACTGCACCCAGCAATTTTTTGTATTTTTAGTGGAGACTGGGTTTCACCATATAAGCCAGGCTTGTCTCGAGCTCTTGACCTCAGGTGATCCACCCGCCTCGGCCTCCCAAAGTGCTGGGATTACAGGTGTGAGCCATCACCCCCAGCTGATACTTGTTGATAAGAATACTTGTGATGCCTGTGTAGGTACAGGATCTGATGGCACCTTAAGGCTCATTGTATTGGTCACATTTTCCCAAATATAAATTTGAATTTTAAATTTAAAAATAAATGTAGTTCCTAGAAAAATCTCACCAGCTGAAGTTAGAGCGGTCCTGCCTTGTTCTGGAAACGGCTCAGAATACTTTTCCTAGTGGGAGTTCTCATAGTAACTCTCTTTCAGCAATCCCTCCTCCCCACCCTTTGATTTGGTCCCTTCCTGCAGCTCAAATTCAACATCTGCTCTCATTCACTGGTGTGTGTGTGTGGGGGGGGCGGGCAGGAGGGGCTTAGCACCACAGCTGGGTGACAGGTGACAACCCTGAGCTAAGGAAATAGAAAAAGGAGTGTATCCCCAGGTTACATTCTTCTCTGCCCTCCCCTCCTGCAGCTGGGACTTGAGCTCTGGAGTACCCCAAGTGAGGAACCTTAGCTCTTGGCTTCCATTGGCTGCTGGTGAATAGGGTTATGCCTTTGATAGCTTCTTTGCAGCTTTTGTTATTGTGGAGCTCGTGTGGTTTGATCTCCCTACAATGTGAACTGTTCGGAGAGGTGAGGGTGAAGGTGGGGGAGGGATGGGAGGATGCCTTGTATTGTCCAGCAACTCTGTCCTTAGAAGACACCAGGAGTGGAAATTTCAGAGGCCTGAATGAAGCTGAGTATTTGTAAACAAACACCAAATCTTGGGGCCTAAAGGTGACAAGGGCTTATTACCAGTAGAGGATTTTTATATAGGAAAATGGCTTCTGTGTCCATTAGATTTCCTAAATCTGGATGAGGGTTGTTGGAATGGTCTGAGAATTGTTTCTTTCCAGCATTTCCCTGACTTTGTATTTTCACCCCTCATTTTAACTATATCCCTGACCCCATCACTTTGGTGGAAGAAATTAATTATATCCGTATACCAGAAACCCAGTCTGGCTGATTAGGTTAACAGTTGACACCCCTTCTCTAAACTCTCTCTTCAGGGTGACCCCAGCCAATTTTTTATAAAATCACTGAAGGATGAACCTAGCTCTCTTCTACAGGCCCTTTTTGCCAAAGGATCCATGGTGATTTTTTCTTTTCTTTTTTTTTCTTTTTTTTTTTTTTTGAGATAGAACGTCACTCTGTTGCCCAGGCTGGAGTGCAGTGGCCTGATCTCGGCTCACTGTAACGTACGCTCCCTGGGTTCAAGCGATTCTCATGTCTCAGCTTCCTGAGTAGCTGGGATTACAGGCGCCTGCCACTGCACCTGGCTAATTTTTGTATTTTTAGTAGAGACAAGGTTTCACCATCTTGGCCAGGTCGGTCTTGAACTCCTGACCTTGTGATCCATCTGCCTTGGCTTCCCAAAGTGCTGGGATTATAGGCGTGAGCCACCGTGCCCTGCCTCCATGCTGATTTTTTTTTGTTGGGGGGGTGGGTTCAGCCAGTGTTAGGTAAAAGGAGCAGAATAGGATTGCTGTTGTATGTTCCCCAAGATGGGAAAAGAGGCCTTAAATTTAAGTGTAACTGGAACAGCTTGAGTATTGGGAGAAGTAGAGGCTGACTCTGTGTCGAGGTACAGTAGAGGGGAAGGCAGAACAGGAGAAAAGAAGGAAAGTGGGGAAAATTAAGGTAGATTCCAGGTAAAGCTGGAAGAAATGAAAAGGCCCGAGGCTCATGACAGGAATAAGTAGACAGAGTAAGTTTGGAAAACCTTCTGCCACCCTCCTATCTCCTGCCCCTACCATCACCTAGCCCAAACCAGTGGATATATCCTTCTGTGATGGCTTCTCCTGGAAGGCCCCACTGAGACCTGTGCAACTTGCCCTTTTGGATACAGTATCTACACGGGGGTAGGGAAAGGATTAGTATAAGATCTTGAAATAGCAGTCTGCACACCTTGAGGAAAGGGGCTGCCTTCCAGGTGTGACATTCTCTGTGCGACTGGACAGCCTTGAACTGTAAATGCTGCCTAGAGCAGACCAACACCAGGCCTGCTCTTTCAGATGGAAATGTTTATTTTCTCTACCGAGTGCTTGAGTTACATGCAAAAGCTTCATCAGGCACCGGCCTTGCAGATCTTGTCTCTAAATGCCATTCACCAGTTTTCACCTTCTGTGCTGCTATCTTGGTGCCATCTGTGAACAGAAAAACACTTTTGAGTCTGTGAACAGAAAAACACTTTTGAGTCTGCTCTTTTCTGTGGTGTAAGCCTCATTTGTTTTCAGGCAGTCCTGTCTCTGGCAGAATTTTGGAGATGGAGGCGGGTTGAATCTTACTGGTTTGGCAACCTTACCTTTCCCCTAGTGTCCCACTAGGGGCCTGATATTTCTCCCCGTATAATACCCTGAGCTTTGTTAAGGAGCATAGTGGAAAACACAACAGGAATGCAGAATGGTTGCAGAGTCCAATTTAATCTGAAATTTGCTTAGTAGGCCATGGGTTTATTTGTCTTATACAAATTATATGCAAATATCTGTGTGGTTATTATATGTGCAATGGAGCTATACTAGTTACAGAAAGACTCTGGAGTCTAATTTCTCGTTTTCTGCCTGATTGTGGCTGATTCAGGGCAAGATCCTTTCTCTCTTGAGTTTTTTTTCCCCCATTTTACAAGATTTGCAGGGATGTCATAAAACACAACTCTGATTACAAATTTCTGTTCAAAAATCTATACTGGTTTCCCACTGACTATGGGATAAAGTCCAAATGCCTGGCATTAAAAGCCTTTTATGATCTGACTCCAATCTATCTTAGCAGCCATATCTCGCCAGCTTCCTTCTGTGTACCCCACAGTGTCCAGCCAAATTAGACGACTGGTCGTTCTGGGAATGCATTTGCTTACTCAGAATAGAATACCCTTCCCCTCACCTCTGCTCATTGAAATCTGACCCAGCTTTCAGGATCTGACTCTAAGTGCCACCTCCTCCCAGAAAGTGTTCTCCTCCCCACTTCCTCCAACCAGGAATAACTTCTTCCTTCTCTGTGCTTTATGGCACTACTACGTTTCTTAAAGATGTATCTTGCCCTATATTCTTTCATTTGATGGATTGAAACCTCCTTGAGAGCAATGAGAATGTTTTCATTCATATTTACACCCCCCAGTAGTGTTTTTAAAAGTTCATGTAAATATTTGGCCCTTGGTCAATGTTTGTTAAATTGAACTGAACTACTTCATGAGGCTTGGGGTTTTTAGGGTTGGTCTCTAATGCTGACATTTGCTCTTCAGAGGCAATTTAACTTTTCTCTCTACTAAAATGAGAAGAGGTATCCTGCCTAGGCAGATACCAGTACAAACTGGAGCCAACATGAGAAAGTCCTTTGAATGGTTTGGAATAAAGTATCTACATACTATATATATTATTACTAATATTTTCAAAATTAATAATTTTTTGAGAAATTAAAATCATTAATAACTATTTATAAAATTTATTCTTAACTAGCTCCTCTGAAGGCAGAAACTATATATATATTTTTTTTTAACCCAAGGAAAGACCATGACTCAGTGAGTTAATTACCAAGCTTATGGTTGGACTTGGAGATCCTTCCTTGAAACTTTTCTCATCTGACTGTGTTATGCTTCCTCCTGGCCATCTGTGAGCCCTGAGAGAAGCTGTCACTGAGGATTTGCATGTATGTTTTCAGACCATTTTCCCCATCAATCTCCTATCATCACCACCATCTTCCTTTTTTTGTTGTTAAGGTGGAGACAGAAATCCAGCGAGTCTCAGAGGCATATGAGAACCTTGTGAAGTCATCCTCTAAAAGAGAGGCCCTAGAGAAAGCCATGAGAAACAAGCTAGAGGGTGAGATTCGGAGGATGCATGACTTCAACAGGGATCTGAGAGGTAAGGGAACCAATGGGCTTGTCTTTATACTTCTGAAGCAGCTGCAGGGTGGTGAAGGGAAGGGCCAAGCAGGATCCAGCTAGGCTCTTTGGGGTTGTTCAACCTATCGGTATGGGCAGTAAATGGCTGGGCATGTGCCAGGCTAATTTTTTGTGACTGCAATAATGCTCAGTCCCAAGCTTGATTAATCAAAGTGTAGGTACACCTCCCTGGTCTTATGAGCAATGAGCTGATGTCGTAGGCAGGATCCCTTCTGGGACTTCTGGAGCCACCTGGCCTACCCCCACAATAGGTACTGCCTCTTCTTTTTAACAAGTTTTGCGGAGGCATGCCCTTTGACTGTGCAAGCTTGAAGTATAATGTCCTTTCTTATTTCTGGGACTCACTGGCTTCTTTTTTTACTTTCACCTGATAATATTGAAGACTTTGGGAAATATTTCTACTTTAAAGCACCTTCAAAACTGCTGACCTTGGGGATGGTACTTTCTTTTTTTCTTTTTCTTTCTTTTTTTTTTTTTTTTTGAGTTGGAGGCTTGCTCTATTGCCCAGGCTGGAGAACAGTGGTATGATCTTGGCTCACTGCAACTTCCACCTCCCAGGTTCAAGCGATTCTCCTGCCTTAGCCTCCCAAGTAGTTGGCTGGGATTACAGGTGTGCGCCACCATGCCTGGCTAATTTTTGTATTTTTAGAGACAGAGTTTTGCCACATTGATCAGGCTGGTCTTGGACTCCTGACCAGGTGATCCACCTGCCTTGACCTCCCAAAGTGCTGGGATTGCAGGCATGAGCCACCGCGCCCACCCAGGGATGTTGCTGTCTGTCTTAGAATTTTGGTTATTTTATCTTTAAAATCGGGGGCCCAACTACATGCTACCAGTTGTCCCTTTCTAGCTTTGACATTATGTGAGTTTAAAGACTTTGTAATAACTGTGATGCTGTTTTTTTTCCTGGTTAATGAAAGATATCATTATATATTTGGGGATGGATAATTTCATTGGAATTTAGAATTCTGTACTTAACTTAGGCTTTGGCAGTGAGGAATGAAAGCATTAAATACTTACCTCCTCCTCCCCTGCCATGGTCTAGTATTTTGGGATTCACATTTGCAAACCTGTGTTAGTTACCTATTCCTATTTAACAAGGAGAAACAGGCTTGTTTTACCAAAGGTCAGTATTTAGAGGGCCAGTAGTATGTGCATGAAAGTTTGTATTTGAGACCCTATTGATTTTCTCCAAATTCCACAGAGCGTCTAGAGACTGCCAACAAGCAGCTTGCAGAGAAGGAATATGAGGGGTCAGAGGACACCAGAAAAACCATCTCACAGCTCTTTGCAAAAAGTAAGTGCAAGCTTCAGAAACAGGTATTAATGTGCGGATGGGAGTAAGGTGCGTGAAAAGATTACACTGTTCTCTTTAGCCTTTAAGAACAGCCAGTGCAGAGCGAGTATCACCTAAGGATTGTTTTTCCTATTCAGGCATGAAGTTGGAAGATTCTGTTCTTTTCCTCCTAAGCCAAGAAGGCTGCTTGCCACAATATCTCGTCACATCACATTGCTCCTTCAGCATTAAACTAGAGAAACCCCTTGAAATCCCTGCTGGTGTCATTGCTAGCTGAATAAAGAGCTTTACTGAACGTGAGGTCCCTTTGTGTCGAAGGGATCTTCTTAGAAGATTCCATGTGTTGGCTCTGGTAGAGATGGCATTAACATGCAGGATTGTTGATTAGTGTTTGGAATACTTCATCTGTACCTGGGGCTCCCTTTGTTAAGCATCTAGTATTTATTGTTACAGAGCAGCAGATTACAAGGGGAGCTACTCCTATGGCCTGAACCAGTGACTCTGGCTACAGAGTTGGAGGATGTGGGGGAGTGCAGAGCTGTATCTTCCTCATAATAGTGTTTTCTTTGTCTAGAAATACTCCTAGGACCATGACAATGAATTAATCCTCTTTTTTATCGGTTTCTAATGGACCCCACCCAGCTAGACAATGCTTAATTCTTTCCAGTTGCCTTCGTAAAACCAGCAATAAAAACTTCATAGTGAATTGAGTCCACAGGGAGAATTAGTTGCTGGGGGGGGGGGGGAACGGGAAACAGATGATGAACTGCTCTCATTTCTGCAGATGCCCATGGTTGGTTTCCTCTACCCCCAGCCTCCCTCAATGTAGCTCTGGCTGTAGTTGTGCTCAGTAGGGATTTGTCAGTTTCTTCCATCTTTGCTGGATCTCCAAATGACCCTTTAAACTCATTCCATGCAGCTTCTAGCCAGCTTTTACAAGTTCGTTTGATCTTCACTTACAATACTGCCCTCCCTTCCTGGGTTGTTCTGTGGTGCTCTGGCTTCAGAACAGGTTTTTTCTTCCTCTTTTCCCTGTACCTCCTGTTCCTTTGTCGGTATATCTTAGAGTAAGGAATGTAGTTTTTCTGGTGTCATCAGTACCTAGTATAAATTTTTGTGAAATTGCTTTTGTGGTGTCACAGTGACTCTCAAAGTTAGTTCACTGGCAGAAAGAGGGTGGCAGCCTCTCAGATCAAAACAAATAAAATATATAGATTCTTTGCTGTGGATCAGCTAGATCGTACTCTCTGTATGGAGATGGTATTTCAGGTATCCTAGGAGCTCTTCTACAGGTTTATGATATGTGGTAACTTAGCAGATCAGACTGTATTACCAGCAGGGCAAAAGACTGTCAAATGGCTCTAGGGGGGAAAAGTGAAGTTCACCAGCTAGCCAGGGAAGAGGGCATGACTCTTGTCCCTCCTAATTTCTTTTGGCTTTGGACATTGACAGGGCCCTGCATGGTTGGAACTGTGGCAGAAGGAAGGAATCCTAGAGAAGCCAAACCAGCTCAGCCCTAGGAGAAGGCAGCCTGGTATAGTAGAACCAGTCTGGGCTTAAATAGGGGCTCCACTACTTATTTACCAACTGTGGGACCTTGTGCAAGTTAGTCAAGCTGTCTGGGTCTGTTTTCTCATATGCAAATTTAGAAGAGAATAGTACCTTCCTTGTATGGTTGTTCTGAGGATTAAGTTAGTACAATACCTGCTTTGCAATATGTATTCAACAAATGTTCCATTCTTTCCAAATGCAAAGTCAGAGTGGGAAGGAAGGTGAGGCTGCCCTATTGACGTTTCTCCTAAAACTTAAGGTTTAAGTCTCCAGATGAAGGACACTTAACCTTTAAAAAATCAAAACTACTTGTTTGAGTTTCTGGTGTGAGGTCTGCCTTATTTAAGAGGAAGAGGAAAGACATGGAACATAACTACATTTGTCATGGTCCCTGTAGTTATAATGATTTGATTCAGAAACGTGGAATTGCTAATTTTAAAGCTCAGGTAAGTCTCAACCTTCTCATTCTAAAAATTAGTATTCAAAATTTGTTGTGTCACAATGAAAAGTTTTGAAACTACAGATTGTCATTATTAATCATGGTAATGATGATTATTATCTGCTTTATGTAGTAAGTTCCTTTGGTGTTTGGTTTGCTTTCTAGCATTTCTTTCACCTAAATAAATCTACTATCTCATTTGATCCTTACAAATATTGTGAGGTTAAATAAGACGGTATTGTTACCTCTGTTTCACTATCTAGCATTGTTGATTCTTTCTTAACATTTCTATCTTTCTGCTTATACTATTGATCTTGCATACCATCTCCTTTTTTCATTCGAGCCCTTAGCATATGAATCATGTTTGTTTTAAATTCCCAGTCTGTTAATTCCACCATCCGTGCTTTATCTCGGGGTCTGGTTCTGATGCTTGCCTTGACTTTTCAAACTGTGTATTTTACCTTTTAGCATGGCTTTTAGGTTTTTTTGTGTGTATGCATGTGAAATGGCAGACCTGATGTATGGGGTAAAAGGCATTGTGGTAAAGAGGGCTTTCAGGAGTGATGGTAAAATTTGGGGGAAAGGGAAGTGCTCTAGACCTATGATTAGGTCTCAGTCTTTTTGTGAGCCTGTGCCTCCAGATGTCACAAGTGCATCTCAGTTTTTTTTCACCCCTTTAGGTGATGCAGGATCACTAGAGAGGGCTTCAACTGGGTATTTCCTTCTCTTGTGTGGAAGGCCAGAGCAGACTGGAGTTGAGTGTTTCCTTTCCCCTGGGTCAGTTAGGCTCTGGAAACAAACAAACAAGCAAACAAAATCCCCCAAACTCATAGACTGGGTTCTGGTTAAATAGTTTCTCTTGGGGGCAGGCCTTGTTAAGAACAGAATGCTCTGGCACATTTCGTAATGGTTCCTTTTTCCCTCCCCGCTGCTGGAAGCACAAGGGGTCCGTTTCACTAACAGACATCTACAGCTAGGACCAAGCAATGAAATCTTTAAGTGATCATTTGGGAGGAGTGAGAATCACCACATTTGAATTCAATGATAGTCACTTCAGGTGTAATATTCTGATATTCTCATTAGCTGTGGGTACTGGAACAAGGTACGGCCAGCCACTTGAAGAGGGTAGATTGAGATAAGAATAGTATATGGACCAAAGTATAAAATCTGTTTAGAGACTACTTATAAATCTGTATCAACTTATGCAGATGCTAGCCTGTGATCATGTTCCTTCATTCTTCTAAAAATTATAGTTTTAGCTACTGTCTCATACTGGTGCTTTCTTCCTCTATTTTTTTATATCCATCCACAGATATTTATTAAATCCTCATTATATAGGCACTGCTTAACCAAGCCCTCTTTAAAACCAAACTAAGCTCTTCCATTCTAAGGTCATAGATTATATCTGTATACACATATACACATACATGCAAGTATATATATACACACGTTTTTATGTGTATGCAAGTATATATATATATACACACACACATTTTTATATGTATGCAAGTATATATATATACACACGTTTGTATATATGTAGGTATACACATATATAAATGTGTGTGTGTGAGCAAACAAGCATATTGGATTACTTTTTAAAAAAATCTGAACTTTCAAACTCTAATAGGCTTAAAGGTAAGAAAGGGAGATTCGCAAATAGAGGGTGTTTTTTTCAGGTGAAACGACTGCCTTAAGTGCTCTGATCCTGATGTTTTCCATCTACGTTTGCCCTGTTCTTTCCAGTGCTTCCTCCACACCTATCCTATCATACTGGAGAAGGACTAGGATAAAAGCATAGCATGGCTTCCAGTTTTACTGTATTATCTTTTAAAAGACATTGGATTCCCAAATGAAGCAGATGCTGAGATAAAGTGGGTTGGGTTAGGTTTTCCCTGGAGAGGACATGTTGTCTACTAGACTTGATCTCAGTTACAAAGTAATGTTAGTGTGTGAAGGGTGGGCTTCAGTTTTTATCCATTTTATGAAATGTCATTTTTAGCTCCCTTTAATGTACCATCATGAAGAAACAATGGGGAGAATGTTTTGAGCTCAATTGCTCTTTTGCCAGTGTAAGACAATTTGGAAGAAATAAAATTGAGGGGACGAGCCTACCTTTTCTTCTGAGGTAGGGGTGTGTGTGTGTGTGTGTGTGTGTGTGTGTGTGTATGTGTATTCTTCTTCGTGTAATGCCTAATACTTTTTGTGACACATTACATCTGTTTTCTCATTGCTTCTGCTCAACAGCCATTAAGTTATTAAGTGACTTTTCTGAATTTCTACAGCAATTAAGTGGTAGAGCCAGTGATAGAATCCAGATCTTAGATATACTGGTTCTTCAGCTATATACCAAAACAGTAGGCTGTCTAGTAAAGGGTATGATGTGTCAGTTTTGCTCAGGTAAGGCTTTTAGTCAGCTCCAGGGTGGCAGTGTTAATGTTTAATGTCCTGACAGATAAAGAAAGCCAGCGTGAGAAGGAGAAGCTGGAAGCAGAGCTGGCCACTGCCCGTTCTACCAATGAGGACCAAAGACGACACATCGAAATCCGAGACCAGGCCCTGGGTAATGCCCAGGCCAAGGTGGTAAAGCTGGAAGAAGAGGTATGGTTTCCTCAGGTAGCATGAGCCTGAGGATGGGAGGGCTGGGAAATCAGGGACACTGGGCTCCACATTGTGGTGAATTGGCAGCTGCATAATCCCCAGTAGGGAGGGGCCATCTGATGATCCTAGTTACCACTGTAATGATGTGAGTGGACTTTGATTTCTTTTTTCTTCTTGGTAAATTCTTTTCTTTTGCTCCAAAATAGGAAATCAGCAGGGTCAAGAAACCATTTCCATGTGTTCATTCATATGATAAGCTAACTGCCCCCATACTCCAAGCTCTTACTATATACCTCGCCCTACATTAAGCCTATGACAGATTAAATAGATAAGGATGTATAGATACGTTTATGTATAGATGGGTATTTTAATTTCTACCCTTAAAGGTATTTTAAAACTTTATAAAACTAGAAAACAATTCTAGGTAGCTTAAAGTACTCTAAGGATTTTAAAGTCTGAACAGTCCTTGCCTGCCCAAGCTTAGTGGGAACTCAGTCCCTTCTCAGGTCAGAAGTGATTCTTGCTGGCCATATCTTTTGCTGTTGGACTGACTTGGCAGATTACTTTTGAATAGAAGCAATCTTGGGGGGTCCGAGGCAGGATGGGACCCAGGGATAGTTTGAAGTTTATGTCAGAAAAAATGCACTGGCCAAAAGCTGTGCTGTGATTCTCAGAATCTACTTCTAGAAAATAGTTCTGTAGAGGAATGGACTTGTCAGTTATTTGTGTGCAGAGGTGAAGCCTTCCCTGGACAAATGCAAGGACCCCCCAAACTATTAAGCATATGATTAATGTGTATCTGATTAGGCTTGACATAGATGCTATTTGATTGCAACCCTAAACTGTACTCATGTGAAATGGAGGGAAATTTGCTGCTGGCTTGTCATTAATTCTTCTTGGATGTCAGTTGTTTTTGCACTGGAGTACTAACTCTTAGATGTTTTGCCCTTCAGGGGATGGGTGTGTTCCAGCAAAAATTGAAGCTAAAGTGTAACTTGATAAAGAAAATGTTATATCTCAGAGACTCCTATTCTGAAATTTGAATTGTTTTAAAGGAAAAAATAGCCTCCATAATAACAAGTTGAAAAATGTATAGATTTGAAACAAAAGAAAATTATTGGCATTTAAATAGTATTCTGGCTATTGTATATGAGGTATCTTTCCTGCCTTCATTCATTGCCTGCTTCCCTCAGTAAGAATAGATCTAGTTCCTGGAGATTTCCCAACTTATCAATTTCCTCTGCTTTCTTTTTTTGATATTTAAATGCTTGTTGGAGTTGGGCTGTAAATTCATACTTTACCAGTAGGTAGTGCCATCTAATTCATGATATTCCTTAGCCTGACTTGCTGAAATATCCGTAGTATAAAATCAGGTTAATGTCTTGCTTCATCAGTTGTCTACATCAGAACTATGCTAAGTTGCTTAACAGAAAATGAGGAAGACTTGTATTTACCTGATATCTAGATTTAAGGAGTTTAGCGCATCCTTTTGCTTCACCTCATATGTTTCTTTCCCTCACATTTTTGCGAGGACATTCCAGAGAAAATTATAGGATGGGGTAAGGCTGGATTTTTTTTAGAGATGGGCAAACTAAGAGACCTGCTGAGAAGAAGTAACTTGCTGGTGGTCACATGGCCATCTTGGGTAGAGCCAGAAATAAAACTGGTATCTCATGACTCTTCATTCCCTAAACCCTGCTGCCTTTCTCCCTGTCTGAATCATCCTTTGGTTCACCTCCCAAAAGGAAAATGTGGGTGCTTGTTCAGATTTAGTAACCTCTGCATCTTTTAAGTTTTTAAAAAATTGCTTCACTCGTTAGGCCTTTCTTTTCAACAGACTATGAGAAACTTGTCCAGATTGCTTCAAGATTAGGGTGTACAGAGAGTGCTGTTACCCCTTCACGAAGGGTGCTCAGCCAGTTGGAGATAAATAGGGACAGAGTGTCTGCAGCCGTTTTTCTTTGCAACATCTGAGGGCACAGTGTTACTGGTTGTTTGAAAATAATGAAAATAATATATGTGTTGGGAGAAAATGTTCATCTCTAGTTCCCACTGTGCAGCCCTCGCTGAAAAGGTTGCCTGAAATATATTTATTTCTGGCTTCAGACTTCTGAGGCTTTTCTGGGCATTAGTCCTAGAGATTTTTAGTAGTTTTCCAGGGACCCTCCCCAAAATATGTAGCTTTACAATATAAAGCACTTCTAAAAATTGAGCTGGGATTGAATGATGGCATCTATCTCAAATGAGCTCATCAATTATTGTTAAGTTTTTAGTCCTTATCCAATTTGTGCTTTCACATGGAGTCTAATCATTAGGAAATTCTGATTTGCTCTTGTTAAAGGAGGTGAAATCTTTGACTGGGACACCATGTTTACCACCTTTTCTACCCAGCGGAATCTCAGAGGCCATGTAATTTCTTCAGACATTCAAGTCAGCTCACTTCTAGCACATATAAAGGCTTGGGAGACCACATTTCAGAGAAAATCAACTGGTTCTTATTTCCCTTTTTGTTTTAGTGGCCTCTCAGAGCTGGATTTGCTCCTGGGTGCTGTTTGTCGTGTCTCCTCTATACTGTTCAAAGGAAAACATTCCTTTTGCATGTTATCCTTAAATATAGGAATTGCTAATTATAGTTTTGCTTTTCTGCTGTGACTCAATCTTCATTAGGTTTTCCTCTTTTGGGGCTGAAATTTTAGTTTGGAACATCAGGGAGGTATTTGAGGTAAACAGGTAGTTCTGGAACAGATCTAGGAAGGAGTCTCCATTGTGATTGCTTCACAAAATTATTGAACATTTCTAAACCAAGAAGAATATTCATGAATGGAAGAGTTATCCTTCCCATCTGTTGGAAATGGCTCAAGTAAGGCTGTGTTTGAAGACAGTTGGGTATGTTAGATGACCTGCCTATGTTCCATATAAACAGATAATTTAGTGATGGCTTACAAATCGCATCATGAACTTTCCTTTATTCTCAGGCCTTAGAAGTTCTTTCAAGGAAAACCTCTCTAGCCTATTTAGCAAATCAAAATTAGGGACACTTTCTCAGATTAGACCTTTTGTCAGGAGACTATTTTTCTCAGCTTTCTAAGAACAAGGTCACTCAGGTAACTACTTCTCATTGCATCAAGGTGGTCAGGGAAAGGTTATGACTAATGGCCAGAGGACCCTTGCATTTATTTATGTCTTTCTCTTTACAAAGATCTCATTTAGATGCTTTTCCTGAAATTCATTCCTTCTTGCTAATCCCATAAAGTCTCTTGCCTGAGGTTCTCTACAATCACTGCGCTCTAAACTCTACATGGAAATGTTGCCTCGGGTTTACAAAGAACGTTCTCCCTCCTGCAATCACAGCTTCCATTTGCCCCCAAGTTCAGTGCATTCTTTCATGGATCTCACTCTGCTGACATCCAGAAGTTATCTTGCTGGGGAGGGGATAGCACTGTAATTATAAATCAGACCTGTTTTCTTGGTAAGTCACTCTGATCCAAGCCTTGAACCAGCGTGTACCCTGTGTTCCTACTGCACAGGCAGCGGAACGAGATAAATGGTGCCTTTCCATCCTTGCCCTTATCTTTCGGGACACGTAGGTCCTATTGAAGTGAAGGCTCATTAAATTCCAAGTCAAAAGAGCTCTGTGTTCTACAGCAACCACGGTATTCTCCCATTCAAATAGAGCCTCCCACCCCCTACCAATTTGACCTCTCTGGAGAGTTTCAACGGATGCCTGGCATATCCTCTCACAAGGCTCAAGGCAGCCCAGGCTTCTGGCTGGCTGCTGTCTTATGGTGATCCGGAGTGGAAGCGGCTTGGGTAATTGTTTCAGGGATGGTGGGAAAAAGGCCTTGGCAAGATCAAAGAGGGAAGATGCTGCGGGTGGGCTGCTTACTGAGCTGAGTGCACAGGAAGGGAGAGTGTGGAATGTGAGAGGCCTGGCAGAGAGAGCCAGTAAGCCTTGTTCTTTGGCTTTTGGCTAAAATGAAAGCCATAGAGATTCAACAAGAAGGGACCCAAATGTTAACCTTTTCTGAACTGTAGTGGCTAGTGATGATTTAGATGTCACATTGATAGCTAGTATTGGAGTACCCAGTGCATTTTCTAGAGTCCTGTCGCCATTCTACTCAATCCTCTAAATTCATACTGTTTTACTTTATTTCCGCCATTGTTCTTGAGGGCTAATATTTTCCATTCTTTCTAGATCCCCTTCTACTTATTTGAGATACATAATTTTCTGCTACCACACCTATCCACAAACTATCATAACCAATTTCCTCCTTCCCTGATATTAGAGGAAGATGTCATAGACATAGACATTTATATGTCTAATACTCCAAAATAATTTTCGGACAACAATAGGATTTTATTGGTGAAGGTAAATCTTACCCAGTGATTATGATGGATTATAGATTTGGATGGAAGATCCAAGGATATGAATTATGTGTGCATTTAGAGTGTTGATAGGATACAGGTAAAATACATATCCACCCAGGAATCTTGCAAGCTTTTCTGCTGGTGCATTACTGATTTATTTGAAGGGCATTTTATCTAAGGATGACATTCTCCTTATTTATCTCAGTGTATTTGCTTTTCTTTTTCTTTCTTTCTTTTTTTTTTTTTTTTTTTGAGATGGAGTCTCACTTTGTTGCCCAGGCTGGAGAGCAGTGGCATGATCTCGGCTCACTGCAACCTCTGTCTCCTGTGTTCCAGTGAGTCCCTTGCTTCAGCCTCCCAAGTAACTGGGACTACAGTCATGTGCCACCATGCCTGGCTAATTTTTTGTATTTAGTAGAGACAGGGTTTCACCATGTTGGCCAGGCTGGTCTCAAACTCCAGACTTCAAGTGATCTACCCTCCTCGGCCTCCCAAGTACTGGGATCACAGGTATGGGCCACCATGCCTGGCTGAATTTACTTTTAAGTAGGTGTTTTTCTACCCAATGTGTTAAAAGAAAGAAATTATGTCTACCCCCAAATAGAGATGGAGTGACCTCTTTGAGCTCAATT